TATGAAACGGGATATCCTTGCAGCTGAAAGAGCAAAAAAGGCATTTTCTGAGTAGTAAATTTTGATAAAGTAAACAAAGGATGAGAGTGATTTTATTTCATAGATAGATTGCAGTTAATTATTCAAGAATTTTGAAAATCTATTGGCAAAGTGATTCAGATAATGGGAAGATTTATAAGGAGATCGTATCACTAACGACGAAGAGTTGAGCATACTATAGCTAGGAGTTTCGGAATATCGGAAAGCTTTATTGGATGTAAAACATATTTCATTAAGTATTTTGAAGAGCAATATGAGATTGAGTTTAAGTCCTCCCTTCTATAAACAGTCTAGTCCAAATTCTTTGCATCTGGATTTATAATCTAAAATACCATCACTTCCGAGAAAGCGTAGTGTAAGTCGTCTCTGAAGAGATCCTAGGCTCGATTCATCCTCTTGCCACTACTACTGAAGTACTCTAGAAGTGGTTGAACACATAATTTGTGCATTAAAATGCTATAGAAATTACAAACTATGCCACCCGGGAATAGTTGAGACTTGGAGGTCTGTTTAGACAGCTGTTATGAAAAGGAAAAATTGTAGGTTGTTTGAGTCCTATACTGTGTGACATTTCGATGACACATTATCATTTATGGTTGAGTCTATGTTGAGTAAATGATTACCAGAGCATATCCACCCAAATTTGGCAGTATTCGGCTTAAACTTCTTTTTTGAGCACTACTGGATCACTTGATTGAGGTCCATACTGATGCCGTTTTGAATATTGTTCAGCTTCTGTGGGGAGTATGAACAGACCAGCTTACGACCATTTGAATACGGAATAGGTCTACCTGTATAGAAGCAATCGCAAATGTCATTTATGTAGACTTCAGAGATCAAGGGACTTAAGACACGACTCAGTATTATCCAACTTCTGATTGGGACAGCATCTGATAAGGGGAATTTAGTTTGACTACTTGGTATCGGGGGCTGAGGAAAGAAGTGAATCAATGAAGCAGGTTTTGTGATCTTGTAGGATGTTAATTTGCATATTCGAAGCTGATGGTTAATCATGTCATAAGCTTAAGAAAAGTCAACGTATAGCCTTAGAACTACATAACGTCAATTACACTGAGAAAAGATTAAATTAAAATGTTAGATGACATGTCTTTCAAGATCGAGTTCTAAGAAAGCCACATCAGGACACATTGACATGTTTCCCAGTGAATAAACAGTTGAAAGGTTTGTCACTAACATCTTTTTCCACTGTTTTAGAGATAACTGGAGTAATATTGTTCATGTCAATCTTGTCTCCTGATTTGTAGCATGGTCTGATGTGTGAGGTTTTTCAAGAATCAGGGAAAATAGTAGCCTCCAGATAAAGAGGATGAGAGTAAAAAACAGCAGAAGAAGTAGTGATATATCAGATCCACTATATTTGAGGAGAATGAGTGTAATCCCGAATACTCTATGACTGTTTGAGACCTAAATGGAATTATTGGCTTTACTAATTTTTAGCTAACTGAAAGAAATAAAATGTATTGAACTTTTAAACTGGTGTGGTTAATAACCCATTATTGTTCGTAAAGATACTACTGAAAAATTGTGTGATTGTTTTCGAGTCGTTTTTTAAATGTGTCATCATTCAAGATACACGGGATATCTGAACTTCGAGATGGTTTAATCAGTTTATTTAGAGGAGTAATAAGTTTTGTACTTTTGAGTTGTTATTAAATGCTGCCATCATTGATGGCTTTTGCCTGTGATTTTCCTGAATCTGCTTAGAACTTATGGTTAACTGTACAGCTGCTGTAAAATTATTTGACCTAAATCAACATTTCTGCAGGCATCTTAATTTATTACAATATGTAGCTGGTATAAATAATTGACTGAAGCTCAATAATCCGGTACATTTTATGAGGTGCATAGAAATCTAAACAAAATTTAATGATCAGATAGAATGTGTTAAAACCATTCATAAGGCTGTTACTCAGTCAAAGGATCTTACTAAAGTTTGTAGGAGGTCCCAGTCAGTTTGTTTTTCATCCCTATATTGACTAGTTTTCTGTGTCGGATAGTTATACGAACAACGGATAAGGAAAGCATCAGCTATTACTTTCTGGTCACAACTTTAAAATTCATGCTTTACTTGTATAGATAGTGAAATAATATCTCGATAAAATATTAGATCTAGTATATTACAGTGTCTTTTTGGGGAACGGACCCACTGTAGGGTAAGTGAAATAATATTCTACTCTGGCCAAATTAAATTTCAGGTTGAATGTGTTGCCTCACAGAATCGGTAAATTAATGTTAATTTAATAAAGTTGAGTGTGACTAACATAGATCAATTAATGAATGTCATGAAACAACAGTGTTAAACTTTTATCTGCTCTCTAAGGGTGTTACGTAAGCACAGGGCGCTGGCCATCAAACGAGGTAGCTTCAAAGTTAGTTTAAGGAAGTAAGGCACTCACAGTGGCCCAGTTGAACTACATCAGTTATCTTTAATGAGTTAAAGTTATTATTCTAATAGCATAGGTAAGCTAACTTGATTGAATATAATTCGACACTAACTATAAATTGCAAGAGGAAAATAGCCTTACGATTCTTAAGCAGTTTTCTTGATCAACATAAATGCTGTTTGGATAAACTGATGAAGATCGCTTACTTTTAAGCTTATAATTTAGTTAGCAAGCAAAAAACTGACAGATAAATCTGTCATACAGTTACATTCTGTCTTACAAAGATGAAATTTCAGTGATATACCAACACTAAGGTATACATTCCTAAAGTAGAATCCTAAAATGTTGATGAAAAAAGTTTTTGAGGTTGTTCACCCCGAACTAACTAACGATTATCATCAAAAGACATTATATTGTTTACAAAAATCAAAATGTTTATTTTAAGAGAAAACAGTTTATATCTCTTTGGTATACATCAATGTTTCTTCAACTGATGAATTCTTTAAATGGATGCAAACATTTGATTTTAGCTAATAAATGAGTAAATACAATAAAGAACATTGATTTTACAGTCATTTGCTTTATTTGTAAAAGTTTTCTAAACTAGTAACACTAACTGCTAATGGTTGTGAACGTTGATCAAAAACTCCCATCTCTCTAATTTACAGTGACAAACAAAAATTTTTGAAGGGCGGTCGTTTAATTCATAAATATTGCAGTTTCAAAGTGAGAAAATCCATAGTTTTTACAAATTTTTTCACCATATTACTTTGTCGGAGTATATAGAACATAGAACTGTGTCTGATATATGATAATTTGTTAGTCTGATTTCAATAGTACTTAGTATAAATAAATATTTTAGTTATTTGATAAATAAAAAATCATTAAATAAATATTTATTGTAGACAAAACAGTATTTATTCTTTTCAATTCAACTGTATTTGTTCATGTGTAACATACAAATATATATAGTGTCTAAATTGTTTTAACATATGTATTTAGATTGCAAGCCATAGATTGTGAATTTTCTGAGAAAAGAAATGTATGTTGATATTCAACAAAAATTATTTATTTTAACTATTCATAAAAGTTCCTTAGGCGAACATGATTTATATCGGGTTGGCACCATAAAATCTACCAATATATATGTTGGGGGCGTTAGATCCCTAGAACTCACTTGGAAAGGTCTTAATTTTGGATTTTTATTTTCACGCATAAGCCGTTTAGTTGACCTTGAGATTACACTTCCCACTCAGAAAACCCCTGACTCATTGGCTGATGGCTTATTTTACTAAACTATGTTTATGGCTCACCCAAGAATGTTTCTCTCATGTCTACATAAGCTCGATTTGTGTGCTTATCAACTTCGTATTTTTTGGGTGCTTGTAGAATACACTTTCTTCGCCACATCAAGACTTCTTGATATAATTAGCCGCTTAGAAGACAACGGACTAGAATAGCCTATCGTTTCACAGCATCATCTGTCTTTGCTCTCGTTACCGAGTACGGTGAATTCATAAAAGTTCAAGAATATCAATTGACGAGCATATCAGTGTATATGTTTTATTATCCAAAAAATATTGAGTTTTCATTAGATCTGTTAAGTAGATTTAACACAAATCGTGGAAATGTTCCAATGTAGGCGAATCTTGATCTGTATTTATTGCTTTGTCCTGAATACTATTATATATATATAGATTGACACAATTGATGTTTCATGAATTTTGTAGAATTTGGATCTCAAGATAGACGAGGAGAAAAAAGTATTTTTAAGAAATTCTCGTCGATGGAAAACTAAATTGTTTGCCAACTGTGTTAGCATACCTTTTGTTCAGCTGTTGAATTGCAAGTTATTTATTCAAATTAACTAATCATCTAAACATATAGATGTCATGTAGATGTTTACTGTCTAATCAATACTTTAAAAATGCGAATTATGTAATTCAAGTTTATATATAACTGGATTATTTTTCTATAGGTGTTAATTTTATCTTAAAAAAAAAACGGAATTTAGGCTAAACTTATTCAATCTCATTCACATATTTCTGGCGGAAATAAACATATTTTTCAATTGCTTGCCTATTTCCTCTAAACATTTTGCACTTTATTAAGGTTTGTTGTAAATTGGAATTTGAACAAAAAGTATTCTATTTTGACATAATTTAAGTACTTTTGTTTGTCTCTAAAACACGCACCTATGAATATTTACCTTCAGCCAGATACTCTCCAAGTTGCAATCTTATTACAGAAATAAAAAAATTGGTTTATTTTATTGGCGAGAACAAAAAAAACAAAGTCAAATTCATTCTTTGATTATCTATATAATTTGATCAACAAAAGATAACTTTCCTGTTGTAAACATCATTGTGAATGTGTCTGTGTGTGCGTGTGTATCTACGTGTAATAGTGAAATATTCGAACAGTTTAGTCGAATATAACTCCTACATTCTAATTGGTTCATTTAATTTTGATAGATTTATAGACAGGTAATAATCGTAATTACCTTCAATAAACCAATTAATAGGGAAGTTGACTGTAGCATTCAAGAAAAGTGTACTTTTTGTAGAGGTGAAAAAAAGAACAACTGATGATTATGGAGAAATGAGGAAGGTTTTTATAAAAGTGATACAAATCCCGTAGCACGCCTGGATCTATTGACAACTAATAGTTTTTACTGAACTGCCTGCATTTACTCCAAGCGATTAGCTTGAGCGACGGCGGTTTTCAACAGTATCTCTTAATTTTTATAAATTTAAATCAAACACATCACTTTATATTTGTCGAAATTCTAATAAAACTTTAAACCATGATGTTATCAAAATGCCGAATGTTCTTAGCTTACAACACTAGCTATTTCAAACTAAGTGTGATATTTCATTTCCTAATATTTTCATTCATTACTTTTTCGTGCTTTGATCCGATTTTGTGTTTAAATATATACAATACAGTCACGGATGATTGTAGTGAAATGCCTGAATATTCGTCTGTCATTCGACGTCCAGGTGATGGTGGCTTTGAAATTCGTATCCAGCTTTTGCCACCAGATGTAAAACGTCGACGTGGTAGTGGTAATAATGGTAATGTAATTCAACATTTATCCGATTTGAGTTCACCAAGTTACAAACCAGCAGTTCATTACTTAAATGGTAGGGAATATCTCATTACAGTTGGACCCAAATTACACTCAAACACAGCTAAAACTGGATTACGACTAGAATCTGTATACTTGACTGTTGTACCAATGGGCTCACCAGAAAGTGAAGAATTTCATCAAAGTAAAGGACGATTTATGCCAACAATTTGTTCAAATCATGCTATTGGAGCTATTCGTTTCGCTTATAATTTTCCTGACCATGTTAGCTTTGTATGGACAAGTCCAGCTAGTTCAGAATCAACAACATTAAAATATACACCTAAAGCACAAAATTTTAATGCATGTCTCGAGATAAGAGCTACAATCATACCATGGCATTGGCATCGATTTTATTTCAAAAATTCTGGATCACTTCGTCATGTATTATGCCCAGCGGAAGATTTACGTCAAATAGACGAATGGTCGGAATATTTACATTCAAATACAAAATTATTTAGAAAAGTGAAAAGTGATGGTGTTAAAGCACGATCTATCACAAATATTGGAAAATTTGATCAAGACGATAGTAAAAATCATCGTTACAGTGATAGTGGTTACTATGGAACTGAAGAACTTGATTCATGTTCTGTTCAAGAACTCCCGAAACCAGTTCGTACTTGTTGTGCATGTAACACAGCTATTTATCGTTTAATTATCCAATCTGAATGGCAGCAACAACAACATTGGAGAGACTGGCCTATCACACTAACCGGTGCTGGTGGTTTAACAACAGAAAATCCACACTGGAGTGAAATTCTCGGCAAGTTCTTTGTGTAGTCTTTTATACTTATCTTTTCCCTTTAAAAATTTATTTAACTTTTGTATAAATTACATTGCACCAAGTGAATGAATATTGATGTATTTCTAATTGTATTATTAACAAATATTGAAAAAAAAAATTAATGTTCGATAGACTGAACAAATTATTTTATTTGAACAAAGAGTCAAGATAAAAAACAAACTATAATCTAGTGGAATTCTTAAATATGAATAGCCTTGTTTTCTGTCATAGTTTAGCATCAATCCTCATTACAAACTGCTGTCAATGAAACTTAGTCAATTTAAATCAATGAAAATCAAATATTATGGAATTTACGGATTCTTTTTTATTGTAGTGATAAATGAGTAGACAATTTGACATTTATTAATGAAATTTTTTAAAAGATAAATACATTTATTATATCCTACCTAACAGGCGAAAAATTGAATTATTGAAATTTCGCCACAAAGTGTAGGTTGTTTTTTGTTCAGAGAATAAATAACAAAAATTTAAATAAGTACTGATGAATAAAATTGAAATATTTCATACAATCAATTCCAAATCTAATCGAGTTAATGTAATTTTATTTCCTATCGTAGTTTTATTCTCATATATTTGAGTAAGTGTGAAAAATTTGACATTTGCAAATGTGAAGGAGAAGAGTTAATTCGCACGGAAATGGGTATGATTATTTTGAAAAATAGTTTAAAATCGATTGTTAGTAAGGCTTTCTGTTAGCTGAGTAGGGGGTTTAGCAGTATACGCAAAACTTTATTAACACATTTTTCTTCATAGCTGGAAAATCAATTTTAAATTACCTTTTTCAATACCATTTAGATGAATGTTGACAATAGCATGTACTGATATTATTGCTTTAATATGTAGATTATTGATTTCTGTAACATTATCAAGTAATTTTATGTAGCTTAGTTTAATCTAAAACTACTTAGAATAAGCTTTCTGAAAATGACAGATCATTCTGCTGATTGTCATTTTCGAAAGTGAATTCAGTGTGAGTTGAGAGAGTGCTTATTACTTAAGAAATGCTATTAGACAGATCATCTACCCATCTATGCTTAACGTGCAGTTTGATGACACAGTTATCATTACGTTGACTTGTTTTTACTAAATTTCCTTGAATGTGAATATTCAAGAATTCAAGCATAGTTTTAGGGATTTCACTAGCAACCCGATGTTTAAAGGATATTTACTGGATAAAATGTGATTATTCGCCACTAAACCATTAATAAATGAAGATCAACTATCAATCAGAATACTTCTGTGAATCTACATTGTTCAAAGTCAAAAGTCAATTTACGGGTGTGATTCTTTGTTTTTCTGAATCTCAGTGAAAAAATTTATTTATTGAACTATAATCAAAACTTGGTCGAGTTTCTAATGAAGGTCAAAAGAGTTGTTATATTATTATCATTCCAATGTATTTCATAGACACTATATATATTTTAGATATTATAGAAATGCTTCATTGTTCGTGTGCATTAAAATTAACAATTTATTACAAATTTAAAACGACAGGAAATGATAGAATGGTATATAAAACGCAAATGTATCGGCACTATTAAGTGTCATCTTGAATATAACTGAAAAGTACAGTTACTTTCTTTCTTTTGGAGACATTGACTGATAAAGTAGTATTGATTGTTGTCTACTGACAAATGTCTTTTGCATGAAGTGTTTTACACGCGATAAATGCATCAAAAATAACTACATTACTAATGATACTAAACAAGACGTTAAAAATTTGATATACCTTTGAAGCAAAACAGATCTGATCTCTGTTGTTTGGAAATACGACTTAAATTAAAAATAAGCACTTTTCGTAAACTTCTCTTATCTGATCTATTTACTGCTGCATTAATATAATGTTTAAACACATCTTTAATAAGGAATCACTCTTAGGTTTCTCATATACCTAACTTCACGCTTATTGAAAATCGTCAACTGATCGAAATGTTTATATTACCAGTTGCGTATTTCTATTGCTAAACAATTTTAACTTGATTTTATCTAACAACTTAGTAGCGTTTTAAATGAAGTGGTTGATAAATAAATGAAGTGACCTAAGCACTTGTAAATAGCTGACATGAATTCGTACATAAAGTAGTTGGATCAAGATCTAATATGGATTTAAAAGGCTAATTTCATTTTTGTTTTCAGCATAAAGATGAAAATCGTATTTTGATAGAGAGCCATATGCTGCATAGTTGAATTCATTAGCTAAAGCCGTAAAAAACTGCTTTCCAATTATGCTTCAAATGAACCGCTTCATCATAACGTACTTCTAATGCATCGTAAAAAATTTACCACGTTCTGAAAGGCTAATCATCGTGTGTTATTCATTTATGCTTCATTTATTTCCTGTCATCTAAGTTATCAAGAAGACAGTTTAATAGTAGTTTGTATAAGTTTTCAATTTATCATGCGAAATCGACGAATGACCTTGTAATAATGGATTATCTGATTACATAAGAAGCAAATCTTTATATAATCAAAGTTATTCTCATTTCTCTCAGGGTTTTAAATTTCACTAAAGTTACTTTTTCACACAAACTAAACCGAATTCCAGGTAAATAAATCTTATTAATTTTGTGGTTTTATTTTTCAAAATAGAATCACTTGACTTTGGAATGATGAAACAAATATTATTGTTTTGTACAACTAATGAATTTACAGCACAACATTTCTCAATCATGCATTGTACATCCAAATGAGCAGTATAACGTCTCTCATTTTACCTCATAGTTAGGTGAACTATTATTACATAGTTGCCAAATTACAATTATTTCGCATAAATTTGATCGAAAGAGTTAAAATAAAATTTTATTCATTTAGTGACAGTCAAGAAAAATTTCAAATCTACTCAGAATATTTTTCTTACACACAAAAATTCTAAACTTTACGCTCTATCTGTTGTATTGGAGTAAAACTATAACTTTAAAAATAGCAATACTTGCTGCTTTAATTATCTACAGATAATTACTTGAGCATTACATCGTAACTTCGCATAAACAAAATTCGAAATTACGAAACAAACCAAACTGTATTATTGAAGGAGGAAAAAATGTATCGGACCAGGGTATATTTTTATGCAATAATCATTCAATAATAAAATTAGAATAAACTTCCCTATGTGACAGACTGTTTTATGCATAGCTCATTTGACTATTCAATGCCAATTTTAAAATTTTTGAGTGTTTTTTTCTACAGTAATTCTTCATGATTATCATTAAAATATTACTTTACCATACTGACTAGTAGGTCAATTCAGTATGTCATTTTGTAAAATGCATAGAAATCAAGTGATTTCCAAGCTATAAAACATTGTTATTCATTGCAAGCACAGATAAAATAATCGATATTATCCTTGGTGTATTCGATAATTGGTTAGAAATTCTAGGCTCATTTTATCCTTTTCTAATTCAAACTGAATTCTGTCTTAGAATTTAGTAGATTTATATTTTGCAACGAATTAAATTCAACCGATCTAATCATTAATTTATTTAAATTTGATAATGAATTATTTACTTGAAATGCTGGACACTGACGTTGAGTCGTAATACGTAATTTTGAAGAAAACTATCATTCATTTATAGTTTAACTGTGTGATGAGAGTTATCCAACAAACAATATTTAAATGTTTTATGCTGTTCTGAATGGTTAGCGAAATAACAAATAACATGTCACGTAAATTATCATTGAAATTGATATTATGGGAAAAAATCATACTTTTTACGCTCACGTTTCTCAAATTTAATTTAGACCATTGTACAAAATTCTCATATATTTTCTTGACAAGCGAATTTCTATTTTACTAATTTGTTTATTTTATGTTTTGTTAACTGAATGAATTAAAAATTCCCACTAATATTTCCGCTGAAAATTCAAATCCACAATAATCAAATACATTTCGTTTTGTCAATTTTAAAAGATGTTTTACTTTTTACCTGGATATCTATGTGGATTTGTAAACTCAGTGGACTATTTCCAGTATTTAATTTTCCAAAAAAATTAACTTAACTTAATTCATCAATTTAATTTTATGTTTTTATCTAATTATTTCACCTAGTGGAATCATGTCAGAAAATGAGTTGGAGATTTTTTAAAATTAGTATTTATAAATTCATTGCTTGTGAAAAAAAGTACAACCATAATTATTTGGCTTAAAACCGTATTTGTTCATTCAACCTTTTTTCTCTTTCCACTTGAACTTATTTATTTTGACATGTATAAACGTTTCTGATGAATCTTATACTTATAATAAGTTCTTTTCTCATTAGGAGAATATTTACGCGCCAGACTATAATGTATATCAGTCATACTGACAGTCAAATTTATAAAAAAATTACCTTTTTCTTACACTCAACTACAACAAATCTTTAAGGTTTATTTATTTTTAAGCGCTTGAAAATAACTAACTACACATGCGAATCTGTAGTGCATCAATGGTTATCTGCTTCGATTTCGCAAGTAACTACATATTACTACTAGTAATTCATTGTTCATTGTATCCTATTGCTGAATCACGTGGCTAAATCGAATGTACATATTTTTTTCTCCAGAGAAAATGCACTGAACAGTCACATGACTTCATAATTCATTTCGCTCTGAGAAAAAAGTCAATAAATATCATCTTCATGTAAATCAACTAAATCATAAGTGATTTTCTGTTTCTTAGCGAAAAAAAACCCATCATAAATTATTTTCTAATTAGAATTTAATTTTCCTTCACATAAATATTATTTTTATAAAAAACAAATTATTAATTAATGTCTTCAGTTAATCTCGTAACTGTCAACTATGGACATATTGAATGTAGTCAGTGCACACTGAAATAATAATTAGAAAAAAAACAATAATGTAGTACAAGTTAGAGCTTGGAATATTTATTGAAAATTACACTACATTATGCAACATTCGATCATTAAGCAAACAGAGGAATCAATAAAAGCATTGATTACAGCAAAAGGAATATGAAAATG